TTATAATTTCGGCCTATAATTTTTCGAAAATTGTATTTTGACCCCGAAAGTGCCTACCCACCATTTTCGGCCGTTCCGGACGCAACGGTGCTGCCCGTTTTTCGAAATTCTGCTCCGATTTTTCTGAAACAGAAAATCAAAATTATTTAGAAGGTGAAAATGACCTTTGACGAGTCAACTTCATCTTCCGGAGCTATGATTATGCTCACGGCTACCAACTACACGCTATGGAAACCTCGGATGGAAGATTTCCTTAGCTGTAAAGACCTTTTTGATCCAATAGAGATGAAAGGTATTAATCCTGACCCGGCTAAGTCAACGGAATGGAAGAAAATTAATAGAAAAACTATTGGTCAAATCCGACAATGGATTGACCATAGTGTCTTCCACCATGTTGCACAAGAAACCGATGCTTATGCCCTTTGGAAAAAGTTAGAAGATATGTACCAGGCCAAGACCGCTAGGAACAAGGCCCTACTGATGAGGCGTCTTGTCAATATGAAGCTCAAAAGTGGAACTTCTGTTGCCGAACATACTAGTCAATTTCAGAGTCTGGTAAATCAACTATCTTGTGTAGAAATGCCACTTGGAGATGAAATGCAATCTCTACTGCTTCTTAGTTCCCTTCCTGATAGTTGGGAGACACTAGTTGTTACTCTCAGCAACTCAGCCCCAGATGGCAAACTTACCATGTCTGTGGTCAAGGATGCACTGTTCAATGAGGAGGCAAGAAGGAAAGACATGAGCACAGATGAGACTCATGCCCTTGTGACAGAGAATAGAGGAAGATCACAAGGAAAACAACAAAGAAACAGTAGAGGGAAATGGCAAAGCAGGGGCAAAAGTCGGGGGAGATCATCAGATGGCCGGAAACCTTCTTATACCTGCCACCATTGCGGTATAGAGGGTCACATGAAGAAGAATTGCTACAAATTGCTAGAGGAGCGAGGCAAGAGCAATTCTCAAGCGAAGAGCAAGGGTGGTGAAGCGCTCATCACAATCTCAGGTGATGTGGCGTATTGTACTATCAATGATGAAACATGCCTTCACGTCTCAAGAGAGGACACTGAATGGGTGGTAGATACTGCAGCATCCTACCATGTTACTCCCCACAGGTACTACTTCACAACTTACAAAGCTGGAGACTTTGGAGCAGTGAAGATGGGCAATTCCAGTTCATCTGAAATAGCTGGAATTGGTGATGTACAAATAAAGACGAGTTCTGGGAGCACAATCACGTTGAAGGATGTCAGACATGTTCCAGACCTTCGTCTCAATCTCCTGTCAGTGGTATGTCTTGACGAACAGGGGTATGAAAACCACTTTAACAGGGGCACCTGGAAAATGTCAAAGGGCGTTTTGACAATCGCTCGAGGACATGTTTGTGGCACATTGTACAAAACTCATTTGAGGATTTGTACGGATAGCCTCAATATTGCTGAGGAGACTACTCAGAATCTGTGGCATCTGAGGCTCGGCCACATCGGTGAGAAAGGGCTGACTACCTTGATTAAGAAGAACCTTATCAACATCGACAAGAATGCTGCACTGGGTCCTTGCAGTCATTGTCTGTTTGGTAAGCATCATAGAGTATCATTCAGTTCTACTTCAGCTAAAAGATCAGAGTTGTTAAGTTTGGTACACTCCGACGTCTGTGGTCCTTTCGAGGTGGAATCAATCGGTGGAAGCAGATATTTTCTGACTTTTATTGATGATGCTTCTCGGAAAGTGTGGGTGTATTTCCTGATTACGAAAGATCAGGTATTTGAGTGCTTCAAGACATTTCACGTCTTGGTGGAACGTGAAACGGGAAAGAAGCTGAAATGTCTCCGATCTGATAATGGAGGCGAGTATACTTCTAAGGCGTTCGATGCATATTGTAGAGAATATGGCATTCGACATGAGAAGACAGTACCACGCACCCCTCAGCACAACGGCGTTGCTGAAAGAATGAACCGGACTATCATGGAGCGTGTCCGGAGCATGCTGAATATGGCTAAGCTTCCGAAGTCATTCTGGGCAGAAGCAGTCAACACCACATGCTACCTTATCAACCGATCACCTTCGGTACCACTGAACTTTGAAGTTCCAGAGAGGTTATGGACAGGTAAGGATCCTACATACTCACATCTTAGAGTATTTGGCTGTTCATCATATGCACATGTATCCAAAGAGCTCAGGCAGAAGCTCGATCCAAGAACTATCCCATGCATTTTCGTTGGCTATGGAAATGAAGAGTTTGGATACAGGCTATGGGATCCTAAGGAGAAAAAGGTGTTCAGAAGTAGGGATGTTGTGTTCCACGAAGATTTGACAATAGAAGACATTGAAAAACCCACAATGTCTCGGAAGTCAAATGAGGGTGTTCAAGTTTCAAATGAAGCACCAGAAGAGGACAAAGTGCATGAAGATAACTCAGAAACAGAAGAAGGCGAGGAGACAGAAGAGAGTGCAGAGCAAGGGGAGACACAATCCACCCCGCCAGACACAGATGATGGTAGCTCTTCTCAGATGGTTCCTACTGTTCGTAGATCTGAACGAGGGCATATACCATCGACAAGGTACACATCATCCGAATATCTTTTGTTAACTGAAGATGGAGAACCGGAGAGTTTTCAAGAAGCTGTATCTCATAAGGATAAAGAAAAATGGCTAATAGCAATGCAGGATGAGTTAGAATCTCTGCAGAAAAATCAAACTTATGAGATCGTAGAACTTCCTAAAGGGAAGAAGGCACTAAGGAACAAATGGGTGTTCAAGCTGAAGAAGGATGCAAGCGGACAAGTGGTGAAACACAAAGCTCGGTTGGTTGTCAAAGGGTTCCAGCAGAAGAAAGGAATTGACTTTGATGAGATCTTTGCACCAGTTGTCAAGATGACCTCAATCCGAGTTATTCTTGGCTTGGCAGCAAGTATGAACTTGGAGCTTGAACAGATGGATGTGAAGACAGCATTTCTTCACGGAGATTTGAAAGAAGAAATCTACATGCAGCAGCCGGAAGGTTTTGAGAACTCAAATGATAACTTTGTGTGTAAGTTATCTAAAAGTTTGTATGGCTTGAAGCAGGCACCAAGGCAGTGGAATAAGAAGTTTGACTCATGCATGAAGAGTCAAGGCTACAAGAAGACTACTGCAGATGAGTGTGTATACATCAAGAAACTTCCAGACGGTACCTTCATTGCTCTTCTACTATATGTAGACGACATGTTGATCGTTGGGAAAGATGCAGTGAAGATAAACCAACTGAAGAAAGAACTCTCTAAGTCTTTTGATATGAAAGACTTAGGACCGGCTCAACAGATTCTTGGGATGCAGATCACTCGAGACAGGAAGAATCGCAAGTTATGGCTATCTCAGGAGAAGTACATTGAACGAGTACTTGAGAGATTCAACATGAATGATGCCAAGCCAGTAAGTGTTCCACTTGCGAATCACTTCAAGTTGAGCAAAAGAACATGCCCTACATCCAAGGAAGAGATCGGGGAGATGTCAGCAGTTCCATATTCTTCAGCAGTTGGGAGTTTGATGTACGCCATGGTATGCACAAGGCCAGACATCGCACAGGCAGTGGGTACAGTGAGTCGTTTTCTCTCTAACCCCGGGAAGGAGCATTGGGAGGCAGTCAAATGGATTCTCAGGTACTTGAAAGGTACCACGAAGTTATGTCTTTGTTATGGAGGAGCTGATCCAGTCTTGGAAGGCTACACAGATGCTGATATGGCAGGAGATACTGATAGTAGAAAGTCTACTTCAGGATATATCTACACTTTTGCAGGGGGAGCCGTTTCTTGGCAATCAAGATTGCAGAAGTGTGTCGCTTTATCTACTACAGAAGCAGAATACATTGCTGCCGCTGAAGCAGGTAAGGAAATGTTGTGGCTAAAGCGTTTTCTCCAAGAACTTGGGATCCAGCAGAAAGAGTACAAGGTACATTGTGACAGTCAGAGTGCTCTAGACTTGAGCAAGAATTCTATGTACCATTCTCGTACAAAGCATATTGACATTCGGTATCATTGGATACGGGAGACGATTGATCAACAACTGTTGAGACTAGTGAAGATCAATACAAAGGAGAATCCATCAGACATGCTGACGAAGGTGGTAACACGAGATAAGCTAGAGCTATGCAGAGACATAGTCGGGATGCTTGTTTTGAATATGCCTGGAAGGGGAGAATTGAAGAATTCAATTTCCAGGTCATATCCAAGTACAAGCAAATTGAAGAATCCAATTCCTAATGTCCCTGAAGTTTCCTCCATGTGCAAGAATGACAAAGGGATCTTCCATACACCTAGGAGTGACCTTCCTTCCAACCACCATTGAAGCTTCCTTCCACCTTCATAGTACCTAGTTTTGGTGCTATAAATAGAGAGCTTGGAGAGTCTTTCTATCATCAAGTAAATTAGAATAGATCATCATAGCACAACCAAGAAGAGTTGTGAATATCCTTGAGAGATATGTGAGGTGTTGTTTTGAGAGTTTTTAGTTAGAGCTTGTATGTCTCTTCTTTCTATTCTTGAAAGTAATAGAAGTGTTTTTCTCTCATATTAGCACGATCCTGTTATTCCCAACAAGTCATAAACTCATAAGGATCATATTTTCCATTAATAGTAATTAATGATTAATCCTTCTTTGAATAATAAAGAATGACTATTCTTTTTTGAATAGAAACAGTGTGCTCACATCTAAGGAAACTTATAACTCCCTCATCCATTAAAACTTTGGCGATGACTTTGATTGATATATTTTGTTTAACACTTTCATATTATTTTCATGTTATAAATAAATTCATATAAAAATATACCATTGATCAAAGATTCAAAGTTTAACAAAAAAAGTCAAACATGACTAAGTTTTGAGGGAGCATGTTTTAATTTTATGTGGGGTAATTATCTCCTTATATTACCACCTACTTACCAGTTATTGCGTTTGTGTCCAACAATAAAAACTAAAAATCATCGCTCATACTTAATAATGCTCTACCTAGGAGTGGATAAAATTTACTCTGTATTTCATAAGTACTAGATTTTCACCCGTGCTTCGCACGGGATGCAGGTAGTAAGCAATAAAAAAATTGAGAACATAAAGAAATGTTGTGATAAACAGAGATGAATGTATATATTGTTTGTAACAAAAGTAAATAAATACAAAAAAAAAATACAAATTATTATATACTTCCTTATAAACCACATTTGAAGTCTTCTTGGCCGGTTTTCCATCATCATCACATATAACAAACTTCAACCCAGACGGGGACGTCACTTTGAATCTCTTTCTGATGGAATCTTATGAATTGCAATCGATATGACTCGATCATTGTATATCCATCAACCGCACAGTACTGCTGAAACAACCTTTGACATCTCAATAGATATGGGGTTTCACCTTGGCGTTCCTGCAACCTGTATGAAAAAAAATCTTTCATTGTAGCAAATTTTCTCCCTCTGTTGCTATTGATATCCCCTATTGCACGCGTCAACCGAACGTCTTCTCTAAAACCATCTTGACCGTAAGGAAATAGTAGTGGGTATTGTAAGCCTAAAAACAAAGAGTTCAGTTTAGTCACAAACTGAAATGCCCCAGATTTTGGTTGCAGGACAATATCTCTCTCTTTTCTATTCACGTCAAAGTCCCCCTCAATTAAAGCCGTTACTTCAGAAACGCTTGGAGCATTATACGTGCGTCCCTCTGAACTCCGTTTCATAATAAGTCTCATTTTCAACGTCGTGGAGTTTGACGCATTAAATCTATCCCTTGCCATCCTAAATAACTGTGCATGAACATTGTACATGTCGAGCATATGTGTCAACTCCAACACCAATGCATCATGCAATTTTGTACCACCCTCACTCCTGTATTTGCAGGAACAAAGTAGATATTTTCATAAGAGATTAGCATTAATTATAAGTTTAACCATATAAAGCTTGTCATAATAAATAAATAAATAAATAAATAATAAATAAATAAATAAATAGATAAATAAATAGATAAATAGATAGATAAATAAATAAATAAATAAATAAATAAATAAATAAATAAATAAATAAATAAATAAATAAATAAATAAATAAATAAATAAATAAATAAATAAATAAATAAATAAATAAATAAATAAATAAATAAATAAATAAATAAATAAAAATAAATAAATAAATAAATAAATAAATAAATAAATAAATAAATAAATAAATAAATAAATAAATAAATAAATAAATAAATAAATAAAAATCATGGAACTGTCTTATTATTTATATAAAAATCTTTATGAAATTTTGAAATTAAAAATAGTATTTCTAAATGGGTAAAAATAACTATTCTAATTATTTAAGTAGACATCATCAGATGAAATTAGCATTATGTAATAACTCCATTCTTAAATAATTGCAACATGTTGAATTTTTACACTATTAACATGATCTACTTTGACTACGTTTTATTTATTCATGCATTAATATATATTCTTGAAAAAAAATTGTTAAATTTGTGTAATCGTGATTTTTCAAAATATAATTTTTTAATTTTTTTACTAATAGAGAATTATTATAATAGTCAAAGTTGTGTCTCGGCAAATGTGAAATGTTGACCGTTGCATTTAATTACGAACGGAGGATGTATAAGTTTAATCATATAAAGCTTGTCACTAAAAAAAATTAAAAAATCATGGAACCAACTTATTATTTATTTATAAAATTGTGAAATTTTGTAGTTATCAATAATATAACTAAATGGGTAAAAATATTTAATCAATCTATTTACCTGACAGCTTTAAGTCTATTTGAGGTTTCTTCACTTGGATCACATAAGTACATCTGCAAAAATTTGGGTTGACCACTGTCCCTTGGAAGAAGGCTATACTACCAATTCTATGGTAGTTTTGTCCATTTATTCAAAATATTGGTGGCGTTTTCCCTGGATTAATGTCTTTGTCTTGTTTTCCTCCAATAGAAGTGAATGCAAACATTGCATTATATGTGCAGATGTTTTCGAGAAAATGACGGCTACGCTCGTCAGAACCAAATATCAAACTTTTTAAAGGTTCCGGTGGCTCTTTCATTGCAGGCACTCCAGGCAGCACAACATCTTCTTGATTACAACACAAGGAGAATCTTGGTGGTTTTCCTGCAGGACTTTTCTTTACTCTTTCTTCGTACCAAAACAAAGCACCACAAAATTCGCACTCATAAGATGAGTCCCCAAGATCTGCATAGGCTGAAAAGATTGGAATCTAAATTACTACACATAAGTCGCAAACATAGTCATGTGCTTGTTCAAGGATTCAATTGTTGACTCTTTTGTAATATGTTGTATTGCGCATATAGTATAAATATTTTGTTGGAAAATATAGGTATACACGTTCAAACTTGAATAATACCTTCACTTAAAAAACTCGCATATTCAACATCTTCTGTATGTCAAAAACATGGAAAAACGGTGTTAGCATTATGTGAAAATATACATACATACATACATACATACATACATACATACATACATACATACATACATACATACATACATACATACATACATACATACATACATACATACATACATACATACATACATACATACATACATACATACATACATACATACATACATACATACATACATACATACATACATACATACATACATACATACATACATACATACATACATACATACATACATACATACATACATACATACATACATACATACATACATACATACATACATACATACATACATACATACATACATACATACATACATACATACATACATACATACATACATACATACATACATACATACATACATACATACATACATACATACATACATACATACATACATACATACATACATACATACATACATACATACATACATACATACATACATACATACATACATACATACATACATACATACATACATACATACATACATACATACATAGAGAGTGTAAGGTTTATATTGGTTTATGCATGTAATGTTCAATTAAATTTAATGTTGAATTACGAACCATGGAATACAGGTTGCTCATGTGAGGAGGCACCGATAACATCGTTTTGATCGTCCTTTTGGTTGGCTTCTATACAGTTTGGAATTCACAAAATCATTATGCATTTGATTAACATCTATCAATGATGTTTTAATTTACTTAGATCTTAGGAAAATAGGTTAAAAAAAATCTAACCTTCATTAGTAGCATCGCCATTAAAATCCTCCGTGGGATTCTTGTTACTTTCTGGGGGTTCGTCTTGTGATCGAGTAATGCATGTCCCCATAACCGTGTAATCATCAGTTGGCACTATGATATTGCCAATTTGCCATTTATTGTGAACTATTGGAATTATACGTGTAACACTTTCGCGTACAATGCTCTCCTTCTGTTGGACTATTGAACAAAACAATATGATTCAATGCATGATTCTTATAATAATAGAACACATGGAGTAAGGTATTATGCATAATTGCCGTTGGTGAGTTGAGTGTCTAGGTTTTCTCCAACATTTGTTCCTTCTTGAAGAGGATGGTCGTTACTATTCAACGACGGACTTGCAGATTGAAATGCATCTCGTGATCGTTTACCCAATATAGTAGTTGACTTAGTCAACTTCTTCATCTGCTTTATTAATGTCAACATTAATTCAATAGTCTTTAGTTTTTTCATTTTCATATTATTTTTGGACAATTCTAACCTATATAGTATCTGCTCAATGTTAATGCCAACATCCTTGAACTGTGATGGGATTCGAACCTGTGACCTCCTCTTTGGGAGTGCCACAGCGATGCCATCAGACCACAAGGTACTTGGCTTCATTTTCATATTTAAGAATATAAAACAGAATGTTTATCACAATTAGGAGGAATGAATTAAAAATAAAAAGTAATAGAATTAGACATAGATGCACATTAATGTAAGAAAATATGTTGAAAGGTTTGATTTTACACAAATTGATAATTGTTATCATACAAAATAAAAATTGTTTTCTTCTTTTTTCAATTTGAAATTATAAAGTATATTATTTATCGCTATCAGGTACCACGGGTTTTAAATTAATAAGACAAAGAACCTGAGTTAGAAGTACAAAAAATGTGAGAAATATTTAAAGAAATTATTTTCAATTAAATCTGTATACTGAAACAATAAAGGGAAAATGGAAACTAATAATCCAACCTTTTAGCACTCTTCTTACAATAGTCTCACCTTTTCGTTATTCATGAATAATCCAACCTTTGCACCTCATCTTCATTCACTGGTCCCTGACCGGTTGATGACCTGCCACTCCAAGTTATTTTCTTATCTTTGCAAACCATTATACCATAAATCTCACCTTTCACAAAGATAATATTTTGCAAAGATAAGAAAATAACTTGGAATAGCAGGTCATTAACCGATCAGGGACCAACAAATGAAGATGGGGTGCAAAGGTTGGATTATTCTTGAATAACGAAAAGGTGAGACTATTGTAAGAAGACTACTAAAATGTTGGATTATTAGTTTCCATTTTCCCAACAATAAATAGCTAATCTCCATTCGTTCTTCTAAAATTATTGGCTATACTTATTTTGTAATCTATTTGTGTATATAAATTCCAAACTATTGGTAGAATGTTTGTTCCCAGTAATGAAACATTTAAAGCATGTATTAGGGTCTTTCATTAATAAAAAGTGGGCTACTGCAATGTCCATCACAGTGACAAACAAATACAGAGTCAAAGTCACACAATAATATGTTACTATCTATGGAGACAGCAGTAAGACTTGGTAGCAAAAGAAATTATGTGCGTATTCAAATACGCTTCATTTTAGGACTTCGATCCATGACCATGAAAGTAGTGCCGTTGATGAATATTAAAAATATTAAATTTGCTAATCACTATTCAAATGGAAAATTTGACATGCACTTCAAGTAATATTGATTTATGATGGGATAAAATAAATTTTGCCGATAATATGTGCGCTTATATATTACTCTGGAACATATACGAAGTAAATTTTATATATTCATAAACTATGCTAAAAGTCATACGGAGTATCGAAGAAGAGTACGTAACAAATTTATATACGGAGTAAAATAGTCGTATGGGAGAATAAAAAAAAAATGAAAATCTGAAATTCAGACTTGGGAGTACTATATGTTCTTACCGTAGAAACGGCGAGTCTTGGATTCAGTCATGAAATTGGTAGCTCGTGCATTGGAATCATACGTATGTTTGTTGTCGATTGATAATTGTATTACTTACCGTCCATACATACTTCCTGCACGTAATATATAATTCCACCAAATAATATGTTGATGTTGAAATTCCATTTTATTTATTCTTTAATACTTTAATTATTAATTTCTCAATTTCATGATCAAAAAAATAATCTCTCAATTTCATTCAGTTACGGTTTTATTTTTTTTAAATAGGGCAAGTTTAAAATGAATTGATTACCTAATAGAGAGAATGTCTCTATTGTTCGGCTCACTTATTGATTACTAAATAGAGAGAATGTCTCTATTGTTCGGCTCACTTTTTTAGCTATTGATTTCAATTGTCAAATCTGGAACGTTATACTATATAGCAGCTCCCATAAAGGTAGCCTTAAAATTTAAAAGAAAAAGTCAATATTCGAAAACATCAAAGTAGGTTAAAAATAGGAAAGCTACTTTCTAGAGAAACTACTATCTAACGATAACATCAGCAGCATAGTTTTAAAGTAAATCCTAATTAATGTTAATAGCAACAACAATGTTGAAATAACAATCTGATGAAATAGTCATACTTGAAAAACAAAATACTCGAAACGCATAACAATTCAGAACAATGGAGTTGAGCTTCTTAGTAGCTAAACTTAAAACGAATAACAAACCCCTAAAGTGAAATAAAAATTTAAAAGTGGATAATAATTTATGGCTTCTCTATCTTGACCGATTTGAGCTTCTTAGTAGCTGAACCTCGAGTAAGTGGAGTAGATGCACCAACATCAAGTTCACAATCAATATCATCTTCAGAAGGTCGCTTAGACAATGATTGTGGAGTACTCACGACCTCTCAAAATCCTTGGAGATATGTGTCTACATTAACAGAACAATAAAAACTATGATTCCATTTTTTTACTAATGAATGAAATTGAAAAACAATCCTACATAACGTTTCTCGTTAACGTAGAAAGGCAAAACAGATCGCACAAACAGGAAAGAAAACAAAACGGGCCTCCACTTTTTAAGAAGAAACAACATAATTGTAAGCAAACTAATCTAAATACTATAGTACCAAAAGACTCTCTACCATACCGAAAACTTGATTTAATCTGAGACTATAATGAAAGAAGAACAGAACTTTACATTGCCATTGGTGTGAAGAAAAGTGAAAAAATCACTAATTAAAAAAACTGGTGTGCGGAAAGTTGGGAGGAATTTGAAGGGAAAAAAAGAGCAATCTCGAAATCAACCTCACATAAGGTTTTTGAACAAAAAAGTAGTTGACATCAGGAGTGTTTCAATTTCCCCATTTTTTATCCATAACTAATCATCCTGAGAGCAAGGAAGATACTAATGCAAATATTTCGATGGTGTTATCATTATTGGTGTGCAATAGAAATGGGGATTTTCATTACTGTCATCATAATATAAAATACAAAACAAACTCTAAAGAAATTAATACTCTATAAATGAATCAAACCACACTCTTTAAAACCACACTCCTAAAATTAGACTGCAGGAGAAATTGTAAACCCTAGGTTAAATATAAATAGTGAATAAGGTTTCAGATTAATTGATTTTGAATCTTCTATTTGCATATAACAGGCTGATAAATTCCAAACTTAAGACACTTTTTTATTTAAGCAATTGATTAACAAAACATCATCCGAATCACATGAAATCTGCTAGAAGATTTAAGATGCTTTCTAAACTCTTTAAATTTCAGATTTTTGATGTTCTTCAAAACAAATATATGAAAATGAAAGTTATACCAAGTTTGATTCCACAGGAATGAAATTGAAAAACAGAAGTATAAAACACTTAAGGTATAAACACAAATAAGTGTATTGCTTGAATACACTTGTGGATGAAACAGTATGGATCCAAATTGAAAGCAAATTCAAACACAAAATCATATAAAAGTCAATAAAACGATCAATTGATCTGATCATAATTCCAAACAATGTTAATTTACCTACTTTGTTTATTCATGTTCTTTGGATTTTCCCTACTTTTTTTATTACTAATCATCATTCTAAGTCTGATTTTCAGTTTTTATTTTTTGAATTTCCCGGTATTTCTCTATGCGTAAGTTACTCGCTTTCTTCTGATTTAGTATGCCAGATCTGACTTAAGAGGACTTGAATGTATTCCAAGTAAATAAATGACCAATTGGGATCTGAAATTTTCACTTGGATATTAAAACATACCAAATTTGATTCAACTGGAGTTGGAGCATCATCATCCAGCAAATCCAGATCGTAATCAGAATTGTACCCCTCTTCCTGCACACAGTTTATGATTTTAGGTTAAGAGGTTTAATCAATTGTGTAAGAGGATCTACAGATAAGATAAATTAATATCGATCTCTGAGAGGGTTACCTCTGACTCCGAGTTTTCATCAAAAGATGATTTGATCTCATTTATTTTGTCCATATTATCTGATGACCCCCCTAAGTAATACACTTTGCCATGAACAGATGGTGGAGCTTCACGATCTATCTTAAATATAAACTCCTTACCCCTCCTTGCCGGTCACCTGTTTATAGTTTTCCTAATATGAGTGATATCTATGCACTTTTTTAATTCTTAACTATATGGATCCACATGTTTAAGCAGGCAGGTTATAAAATCCACATACTTAAGAAGTCAAGAAAGGATTTTCATTCAGGTCATCACAGTCACTTTAGTAAATACGGGGTATTAAAATACAATAAAAGAGTCATTGCAAGAATCATCACAGTCACTTTATTGATAAAATATGGTGAAGATGCATTTAAAATTTGGCATTCTTGTGTCTGATAGTTATCGTAGTAATTTTCTGATCATTATTTCAACTTTGATTGCTAATTTCTCTCAATAACAAATAAAGTTCTTCAACTATTGTAAAGGAGTATAA